GATACAAGAGAAGTAAAAAACATGGCTCACCAGTAGAAAAGACGGGTCCTGCTTGACGAACACCATCAGCACTACTCTCAAGTTCAGCGGTAGTAGGGGTCGGGATTCCTGCCGCATGCCATCAGGGTTATTAGTACCGAGTTGTGCTTAAACGAATGAATAGAATAGAAGCCAAAAAAACGACTCACCAGTAGTAAAGTCAACTCCTGCTCGACAGGCACCAGTAGCGCTAGACTTGGGTACAGCGGGGGTCGAGGTAGGGGTTCCTGCCACATGAGGACAAGGTTATTAGTAAAGAGTTGCTTGTGTTTGACTGGATACAATAGTGGCAGAAACTTGACTCACCAGTTGCAAAGTCAGGCCCTACACGGCGAGCTTCAGCAGCGCTAGTGTCGGGTACAGCTGGGGCAGAGGTCGGGGTTTTTGCAAATAGAAAAACATGTTATTAATAGAGCACCACTGGGATGAACAAGACACAACAGTCAAACACACCACATACCTGATGCACCAGCCGCGCTAGTCCCAAGTCCTGCGCGTCGAGCTCCAGCCGCACTGGTCTCAGGGGTGGGAATCCCTGCCAGGAGCCAACACGGTTAACAGCAGTAGTTAGTACCCAGGCATGTATACAGATGTCAACGCACAAAGCCATGTCAAACACACTTACCATACGCAGACTGACGTCCTGAACGGCAAACACCAGCGGCGCTAGTCTCAGCTACTGCATTGGCCTGGGAGGCCACAGGCGAGCCCCGATGTGTTAGCCAAGGTGCAACTCCGGCGCTCCCAGGTGGGTCCTCAGGCGGAGTATCCAGCGTGCTGTCCGTACACACCCAGACAGGCGTGGGTAATGTGGAGTTTGGTGGAAGCACGGGTGAAGCTGGCACAGTAGGAGGGTTGATCACCTCGGTTCGCGTGGCGGTAGTGAAGGAGTCAACCGCTGATGGCGTGGGGAGGCAGACCTTAAATGGGATGCTAAGACATTAATCTCTCTAGAAAGCCTATTCTGCTTGGAGGAAGGTGGCAGTGATATCAACAGGAACTCTAGCGCGTTGCGGGGAGCTGGAACGGGAGACTTAGTTTGAGGGGGCTCGTCAAGAGCTGGCGCGTCACCATCGATACATTTTCCCCCAGCGACAGCCATGGCGAGAGCAGGCTGGGTGGAAAAGGTGCTGCTGGGTTAGGTGAGAACGCGATAGAACAACCTGAGAGGCTGCACGCTAGAGTGGGGCAAATGTGTCTTAGTGAAGCACGTTTTCCGCAGGGCTATTTGAGCTCTCGTAATGATCGAGAGCTTCCCAATGACTGTGTCTGGGGGTTTCCTCAGTAAGGAGGGGAGAGCGTTGTGGGGCACGACGAATTGTGTGGCAGGTACGGGACGTTGTTGGGCACGATGCAAGGTTTAGTGCTGGCATCGTAGCGCGGAGCGAGATTCTCTAGTGGCGTCGCCGCGCGATGCCAGCGCTGTTGCTGTGAGACCGTAAACCACATCTCCCATTGGCTGCAAATACATAATTTGGCTAAGTGCCAATGAGGCTGCAAGGCGGCTGCACGTAATATACAGCGCGATAGCATTTCGTAACATTTCGCGCCTCATCAAGGTACTGCTGTACAATTTGTTGCGTGATTGACGGGGAGGGGAGGTCACTAAGCGCCGACAAAAAAAAACTTCCGTGAATATCACGGTTTTCTGTTTCAGGGTTGTTCCGCATTACTGCGCTGATTGCTCTGTATCTTTAGGGATAAAAACGCCCACTCATTAGTGTTGTACTTCAAAAAAGGCTTTCTCATCAGGGTTGAACAAAAAAAAAAGGCCTTTCTCATCAGGGTCGGGACAAGCAAACACCCTGAAAAAAAAAGCATAAAAGGCGTAAAAATCCTGATATTGTGGGGCCTGACTACTAGTCTGACTTCTGGTGATGACAACAAGGCAACTCAGGGCAGAACTACTATTTTGACCACTAACACAAGAGGCCACAAGGCTAGTCAGCAAGTGTAGCAAGGCAAGCAGGTATAGAACAACAAGTACAAGCAGGTATAGTATGACTCAGGATACAACGAGCAACGCTGCTATAGAGACTAGACCAAGCTGAGTACAGAACCTTTGATGGTCACGAGGCGCAAGTGCCTTGGTAAAGATATGTGCGGTATTGGCCTCTGAGGCCAACTATACCACACGAGCCTGACCGCGCTGCTGCAACTCACACAGCAGGAAGTACCGCAGCTGGATGTGCTCCGCCCTGCCCTCAAGTTGAGCCTACTGAACCCGGAAGAACATGGCCCTGTTGGCAGCAAACAGGACTGGGGCTGACCTAGGCTGCTCACCTAAGTTTATGAGCAAGAACATCAGTCAGCGAAGCTCCTGGACAGCCATGGCCCCAGCGTAAATCTTTGCCTCACAACTGGACTGAGTTACAAACGATGACCTAGTGGACCTCCACGAGACTGCACCCACACCAAGACTAAAACAGTAGCCCTGAGACGATATGAGCGTCTCCAAGTCATCAGCCCACGATGCGTCTGTGTGTCCAGTGAGTACCACTGGCTCTCGACCTCCTAGCACAAGCCCTAGTTTTGATGTACTCGCCAGATACCAGAGTACCCTCTTGGCGGCCGACTAGTGGACTGGCCGGTGCCTGCCTGTCACAACGAAGCGAGTTGGGAGACTAAGAGGGTACGCTAGATCTGATCAGGTACATGTCATCGGGTACATGAGGCACCCCACCAGCTCTGCGTATGGACCACTAGCCTCGGTCGGCTCAGTCGGAACAGGAGCAGAGAGCTTGTGATCCACACGCAGAGGCGTAGGCTGTGCTGAGGAGAACTGGAGACTAAACCTATGGAGGATCTGCTGCACCATATGGGACTAGGAGAGTGTGATCGTGCGAGCAGCACAGTCATGAGAGATCTCTAAGCCGAGATAGAACCTCAGCTCTCTAAAATCTGTACAGGTGTGTCTCCTAAGTAACTCGGCTTTCACTGAGGCCAGTGCAACTCCATCAGGAGTAGAAAAGATAAGATCATCTACATACACTTGGATGTAGAACGGTGTCTGACCTGTGTGAACTATTAGAGAGGGGTCGGCAGAGGACGGAAAGAACTGCAGCTCGGCAAGAGTGGTGCGAAGCATATTGTCCTACTCACGAGGTGCCTGACGAAGGCCGTAGACAGGACGGTGCAAGCTCCACTTAGTCCCAGGTGGGAAGGACCTAGAGAAGCCTAGAGGGCGTCGAAGGTAGGTCTGCTCGTGCAGACTACTCTTCAGGAACGCTGTGGAGAAGTCGAATGAATGAAGCTTGTAGTCACGCTGTCTGAAGAAGGACCCAAAGTGTTGTCATCTTCTAGGTCAGGGAGTAGGTCTGGAAGAATTCCACATCTGCACACTGACTGAAGCCTCTAACAACGTTACGCGCCTTGAACTTCGGCGACTCTCCAGGTGCGCGCTTCACCCTGTGGATCCACATGCCATCGACTACATTCGCCCCAGGCGGGGGAACTGCATTGACGTAAGTGCCTATGGATCAGTAGGATGCCATCTCAGCCGCCATGGCTTGTATCCACTGGGTTGCCCAGGGCCTTGAGACCGCCTCAACGTAAGAGCGCGGAACAGGGATGTTGAGAGCGTATGGGTCGCCCTCTGGGGATACAAGCATGGAGCGGAGATGGGGTACAGTGGCAGCAAGGTAGGCCAACTCGTGCTGCCTGTCCTCTAGCACGTCACTAACAAGGGCAGGTGCACCCCCGACGAATGAAGGACGGGCAGTACTAGAGACCAGAGCAGCAGCATAGTCAAGGCGGTGGCTAGCAGCAAAGTCGGGGACATTGACAAGCGCAGAGACAGACCCAGGAGGAGCAGTAGGGTCAGTGACAAGCTACGCAAGCAAGTGCGAGAGGTAGGACGAGCAGTGCGAGCAGCGTCGGAGCGAGGAGGGGGGGACGACGGGAGCGACGACAGGGGAGGAAACGGGAGGACTGTGGCTGGAGGAGCAGGCGAACGATGAACCATAAGGTGGACACTAGGACGGGGAGGGACAGGACGAGCACGAGAGGGGCGACGGGTCCAATGGGGAAGAACTGGGGACTGGGGACGAAGGGGAGCGGGGGACAAGTCAGGGGACGAAGGGAAGCACGGCGGAAACCTGCGAAGCGCGGAATTTGAGAGCAGAAGGTGAGAGATGCGGAAACTACCTAGCTCTATACCATGTTAGGTTATCGAGAGAATGAATGACTAGGGGAAAATGTCGAGAGATACAAAACTAGGGCTGTACTTGCTAAGAGCTAAACTAGCTAGGCTATAAACAAATATGACCTAGCTAATCTATATATATTTGTTGACAATTATACGCATCTAAGTTAGTTAGGTTATATTTGTTATAGCCTAGTTAGGTCAATTCTTATAGGGTACAGCACTCACTCTTGTACTCTCTCGACAATTCCCTTAGTCACCTTTTTTAACGCTGCCGTAATCCCCCGGATATAGGCGCATATGTGCTTATAATGGAACCCTTTCAATGTTACAAATGCACTTTTAATCGAATAAGCTTATAAGCCCATAAGCATATTAAACGTACATTTATGGAAAATATTGAGGGCACCAAAATGAAGCTCATTGAATTTGTATCCGAAGGGATCACTCTCTAGAGGGGGTCGTGAGGATAGATTCGGTAGAAACGACTCGAGAATATTTCGCCAACACGTCCCCTAAGAAATGCTCGTCGCTAGTAAGGTGCACGTGAGGGTTGAGGAAGGGCTGTGGGAGCAGGGCTGACGTTTCAAAAAAAGGCACTCAGATTTTGCCCCCCAAAAAAATTCCTGAGTCTGAAGGGGCATTTTTCAAAATTTCGCTACTCTGAAATCTCATTGTCCAATAGTCAACGAGTATGAAATACTCAGGGTTCAGAATGTCAACTCAGAGTCCTGTGCCCAAGTCGAAATCTTGTATTTTTGGAATTCAAACAAGGCCCCACGATTGGCTTTACCGTACCCTGTTTGCTCAGTGTCAGGTTAAAAAAAAAAAAAAAAAAAAAAAAAAAAAAAAAAAAAAAAAAAAAAAAAAAAAAAAAAAAAAAAAACCTTTTCGTAGCAAAAATTCGCTTTTCCATCAGGGCCATGTACTAAAAAAACCCTGATTTGGCAACAAGGAGAGAGGATTTCGACTAAGAGTAAATTCCGCATTCTAATAACAGTCGTTCCTATTAGGCGAAATTCTCGACAGCTGCTCGTTTGGTCAATTGAAAGTCTATCAAAATGTGACGGTCACGATCGATTGCGATCGTTTCAATATTTTTCAACCATTCGATGGTCGCAAGTGATTCACGTTCACGATCGATCAACCGGGGTGTTCATATAACTCTGAAGGGTTCAAGGCTGTGCTCCCTCCCAGTGCACGTACGCTGACGTTTCTGCTGCGGTCGCTACGGCTGCTCCTGCCACTGAGACCGTAGCGGCGGCCTTCCCGCAGGAACAGCGACAGCATCGGGGCCGTCGCGGCCCCAAGAGAGGCCGTGGTGGTGGTGGTGGTGGTCGTGGTCGTGGTCGTGGTGGTGGTGGTGGTCGTCGTCGTGGTCGTGGTCGTGGTCGTGGTCGTGGTCTAGTGGTGGTGGTGGTGGTGGTGGTGGTGGTGGTGGTGGTGGTGGTGGTGGTGGTGGTGGTGGTGGAGGCGATAGTGGCTCTAACGAGGGGGCTGGGGCAGGTGTCCAGGAGCAGCAGCAACTGCAGCAGATGCACCAGCAGCAGCAACAGCCGCAGCAGCAGCAGCCGTGTGCCCTCCTCCCGCCGGGGTGGCCAGGAGCCCCTGGAGGTGGCGGCCGAGGTGGCGGTCCTCGCAGCTCGGCGTCTACCAGTGGCTTCGGTGCTGTGGGCTGCAAGTACCAGCTCCAGACCGGGCCCCTCTGTGGCACTGTATGCCGCCGCCCGCACTTGACCGCCTGCTGCTTCCACCGCCTCGACGACCTCTTCCGTCGTCGCTTCGGCCCGGCCCTGGACCTCTCTGACTGGCCCAGTCTGCTGCGCCACGGTGTGCTGTTTTTGACATAGGCATGGATCAGATTAGTTATGCCCTGCATTCTCTGTATGCTGACACTTCTAGTGTGTCAGAAACTTATTACCCAGTGCTCTCTAGCTTAGGCGTAGCACCTGTTTGTAGTCCAGACTCCCCTGCTGCGATACAATCTTCTACATCTCTTTGCAAAAATGCATACGCCTAAAAAAAATCTCCGCAACCTTAAGACGATTTCGTTGACTCCTGTTTTTTTTTTTTTTTTTTTTTTTTTTTCTTCGCGCACCTCACGTTCGCAGGTTTCTCCCACAAATGGCAAAGGCCACGTCTGCCTTTCGTCAATCTTTCCCCTCATTTCCCCTCATCTCTCTAACCCACCAAACCCTCCTATGGCACCACCGCTTAGGTCACCCTGCACTCCCGCGCCTTAAGCACATGTCCGAGCACAATCTAGTTGTTGGCCTTTCTGTATCGCTCCCAACCCTGCCTGCCTCCGTAGTACCCCTCTACATCTCCTGCGTCGAGGGATGGCTGCGCGCCACCCCTCACTCCTCCTCATTTCGTTCTACCACGGCGCTACTACAGACACTGCACATGGACGTCTGTGGCCCTGACTTTGTCCATCGTCCTAGTGGGGAGCACTAACTCGTAGTCATCGTTGACAACTTTTCGTGTTTCACCACAGTGTTCCCGCTGGAGCGGAAGGCCGACGTGCGTACCGTTCTCCTACTGTGGCTGCTTACTGTTCGCACCCATCACCGCTTGCCCGTAGTTCGGTTGCACTCTGACCGTGGTGGAGAGTTCGCCTTGGGCACTCTAAGACTGTTCTGTCGTGCGGAGGGCATCCACCAAGCGTACAGTACACACTGTCGGACTCCCCACAACAAAATGGGGTTGTTGGGTGACGCATTGACCTGGTCATGGAGGTAGCTCGTACCTCCATGGTCCACGCTGGTGCACCCCATTTTCTATGGCCGTTCGCCGTGCGCTACATTTCTCACCAGCCCCATGCCCTCTCCATATCCCATACCGGTACAGCCCATCGCTATTTTGTGACCCTGGTAACCGTTGTAAGGCTTGCAAGCCTAGATGCCTATTGCTCTACGCCAGCGATACTTCTACACCCAAGCTTACACCTTTAAATGTTGAGTCGACTTAAAATCACTTTTAAAAATCAGCTCAAAGAGCCCTTCTGAGTCAACTCCAAATCCAATTGTTGCTCAGCATCTAGCTCTGCCACCCATCCGGCTATAGTGCTACTCCCAAGCCCACGCCTTCCAGTCCCCACCTAGCCTACTCCCTTTCACCTCTCCCTCAATCCACGCCAGGCTCGTCTCCTCCCGTGCCCCTCGCCACCTCTCCCCAACCTGCCACCCCCTTCCCCAATCAGGGGCAGCCTCCCTATGGGGGGGGACCCTCTGCCCATGTGCCTATTGCTAGCCTAACGCCATCTCCCACCCGCCAACCCAGGGCCAACCTTGCTGTGGACTTCTCGTGCTTCAGGAAGCCCGCTACCTGTAGGGTGGGGGGGCCGGCTACTCTGACGAGTCCGACTATCACAATCCGCACTCTGGCGCCTTTGGCGGCTCTGGCGGCTTTGGCGGCTCTGGTGGCTCTGGTGACAACGATGACATCGACGATAGTGACGATGATGACGATGACGATGACCATCACCACGACGGCCACCATGATGTGCACCACAACAATTCTTACCACAGCAATCCACACCACGTCATCTCGCTCTACAGCAACTCGGACCATGGCAATTCATCATACGGGCATGGTGACCGCACTGCAAACCCCTCCGCTGACTTGTCAGCTGGGGCGGCTTGGAGCAACAGGCATGGGAAGAATGGTATGTATAAGCAGAATTCGTTGGGCAAACTCCACTATTCTGCCACCGCTGGTGCTGGTGCTGGTGCCGGTACCGGTGCTGGTGCTAGTGCTGGTATAGGGAAGGGATTGACGAATGCTGACTGGTGGACAGGGAAATCTGCCGCTCAAAAAGCTATTTTAGGAGGCTAATTTGTCTTGCATATCCGTTTCCGTGGTAATCTCTAATGCGAAGACAAAGTTGTCGGCGTATGTGTCATAGTCGCTAACCACTGTGCTCAAAGGGCTTTCAAGTAGCGGGTCAGCACACCCATTGCCCCCTAGGCATAAAGGCGCGTGGCCCTTCCGAGGATCTCTAGGTCAACCCCAGTGTGTCACCCCAAACCCCCCCCTACTCCCCTTAGCTGGGGTAGGCGGAGGTCTCAGTCCGCAAATTCTGGTGCACACCGGAAATTGAACCCTAGATCACTCTAATACCGTATCACAATCGCTAACCACTGTGCTAAAAGAACTTGGTCAGTAGTGGGTCAACGCACCCATAGCCCCCCAGGCATAAAGGCATGTAGCCCTTCCGAGGATTTCTAAGTCAAACCCAGTGTGTCACTCTACAGTATGAATGAACTTCCTTCTATCCTACGGCTGCTTCCGAAACTTGCCCCTCGCTTGAATCTCGGAAATGCCGAGCCCAATATTGTGTTGCACCACATGGATCTGCACTGAACCATCTCGTGGTTCTGTGGCACGCGCGAGCCTGGAGAGAGGCTAGTGTGGGAACAAGCTAGCCTACGCTAGTGCGACAAATGTTTGAGGCCAGGAAAATTGTAATAGCGCATAAGAAAACCTCAGGAGTTCTAATTATTGGAGGGCGTTTCGTATGCTACGCTACTGTTCGAATATATGACATTGTGCCATTTATGAAGTATCAGAATGCCACTACTAACGACTAATTGTTTCAAGATCCACATGAGCTGGCTTGTAGTTTGCTGTGGGGCGCTTGTACAGAGGTTTCTTCTAAAGCTTCGTGCCCAAGCTCACTTGGCAATGGCACGGTCTTCTTGAATTTCGTTGACCACAAGCCCCTGTATAACTGTGCTTTGGTTATAAACGACAACCACCGAACATCCACAGCCAGACCGTTCTGCCAGCGCAGAGGTGGAGTAGCGTGGAAATTGCGTTGAGGCACATGCTTATCGGTCTACCTTCTTCGTCGCGAGATTTAAGGACGAGATGTTGAAGCCGTTCGATTAGACGACGAAAGCAAATTATAGTAACTAGCTGTCGTCAGCACTTTCGTCTTCCTCACAGAAAATGGTGAAATTGCTTGACGAGCGCGTTCCACGAGCGGGCGACCACCGAGCCACACTGGTCGGTGACCAAACATAACAGTTGGCCAATAGAGGCTCACGACAGTTGTCTTGTGTGCCCTCGCCTCACGACCACCGCACTACACCGGTTCGCCGAGCCTCAATCTTGAACCCAGCCAGCTTTCCACACGAGCAGACACACCCCCAGGCGAGGAAACAACACGTGTAGCCGCGACGCGCAATCAGCGAAGCACTGCGTCGCTGCTACTGCTGCGGGGGCTGGTGGTTTTGTTATGCTTCGCTGTTCGTTACATAAGGGGCGCTCCTATCATTGTCAGCCACAATCCACTCCCACCCACTCGTCCACTCTCCCCCCACTCGTCCACTATCCTGGCTAATCATCTCAGTGTTCTTCTCACAACGAACCGTTCAGTACCTCCCTGCTCAGCTCAACCTCCTCCCCTCTCCTCAAGCCACCCGACCAAACCTGCCGAACCCTCTCCGAGATATCGTTGTCTCCGTGGCAGCCCAGTGTCACTCATAGCCTTCTCTCCACTCCACCTCCATTCGCATCCCACGTCCGTCGCCCATTTCGCATTCCAACCCCGCCTCACCGCACTCCACCCCACCCCACCCACCACCGACCAGTCCCCCGATCTACCCCCTCGCCATGGCCGTCAGAGCACGCGAGCCGCGCGGCACGAGGCTCATGCGCCTCTGCGTCGCGCTCCTCCTCATCGCCGCGGTGCTTGCCGAAAGCGCCGCCAGCGCCGGCGCTCAGCCGTCGCCTTCCCCCCGGAAGTCCCAAGGCCTCCTCAACCGTCTCAACGGGTGGCGCCTGAAACACTCGCGCAAGCCGCCTCCCACTGGCGCTGCCGGTGCTGCTGCTACAGCCGGAGCAGCCGCTACAGCCGGCGCGAAGGCGCTGGTGAC